TTGAGCACTAGAAACTTGTGCTTGGAAGCACAACTGACTGAACATGACTGAGTCAGGCCATGGAGATAAATATAATTTTTCCACTGAGATATTAAGTTGTATTTTTGAATACAAGTCTCTCAATTTGTTATGTTAATAGTACAAATCTTGCTATTTTCCTGATGGTAAATTACAGTCAAACATCTCTCAGTTTCAATTTCATTCTAATGATATGTCTGTGGCCATACAAAGCAATTATTCTGGTTTCCTCGGAGCTGTGTCCAGCCCTTTCTTATCTTTGCAGCATACTGAATGATAAATGCTGTATTTACCAAATGTTAATATGGAAATTAGAGGGAGAATCTTTGAGAGCTGAAAGGGAATACGAATATTAAAGTCTGATGATTCTGTGCAGGAAGCTAAATCATTAGGCCTTAAGAGCTAATGGCCTTAGGAACACAAAACAGCTCATTTATGCATTAAAGATGCAATGTATTTACATTTTTCCAGTTCATGAGTTTTATGATGATTTCCTTGCCTGCACTTTGTCTCCTTTATAGTCTGTACAAAATGGACATGTTTTTCACATTTGGGTAAGTATGAAAAAGAAAACATACTAGCATGAAAAAAACACCAAATATTTTGGTTGTATAGAAAATCTGAATTTGACAAATTTGTTTTAAAGTATTTTTATGACAAATCCTACTTCTGTAAACTAAAGGGATGAAGTGATATCATGCTGAGCTGTCCTTTCTTCATACAAATGTTTCAAATGTTTCAAAATGCAATGCAAAATGATGGCCCACTTTGTTGTGATTTTCTGTGAAGGTTTTTAAAATAACAAATTACAACTTTTTTTTTCAGTATTCTTTTTAAAAGTTGGCTTTTCTCTTTTTCCTCTTCAAAGCATTTGAGTGCTTTGATGGCAGAGGCAGGACAGAAGGCTTAAAAATATCACACTATTTCAATGGTGAGTTACTAATGCATTTACAGTGAGTATAAATGCAAATCTGACAGCAACAATTGCACAGAATTCAATATAGGGATGTTCAAAATTACATCTGTTACATAGGACAGATGAGGAGTTCACCTGAATTTTAGTCAGCTACATTGATTGGGTTTTTTTCCTAAAAATTCAGAGTTGTTTTTCTAGATGACAGGTAGTCATTTGAAAAAAACAGCATTCTTACACACAGAAAAAAACCTTCAAACAGTGGTGATACTCCAGAAAATTTCATAGGTTATTTTAAGGACTTGTAGGAGATAAAGCTCTGGGTTTTTTCCTTGGGCTTAAAGCATTGTCACAGTTTACCATATGTTATTTCATAAATGCATTATCATTAGAAAAGAGAGCTTTAAGTGCAAAAATACATGGCTTATCCACAGATAAAATGGAATGAAACTCAATGGAAGAGCTAATGACTTCCCCAAATGCATTTAAACCAGCTACAATTGCACTGGCAATTTAGGGAGGTTGCATTAAGAAAGATTTATTACTATGAACTGATCATATCACCAGGAATTTCCTGTGGACTCCATCTCTATGTACATTGAACAGGATGGTCTGAGGAGAAATTAACAACTGCAATAATGGTTCTAAAATTATTTCCTTTTAGCTCATTATTCCAGCTGCTCAACACTTTCTAAAATTTCAGCTTTCTAAATGCAATTTCAACAAACTGAGTGCAAAAAACAAACAGACCTATTGTTTGACTAGTAGTAGAGTTAAAAGAGAATAAAAAAAACATGAACAAAAGAAAAAAAAATAATTCCCTCCCACGTTTGCTTTTAAGAAGAGAAAACACCTCTGTCTTTAAAGAGGTATGGAGATTTAAATCTGAAAGGCGATAACACTACATAGGAATTAAGTTTCGGAGGAAATGGCTATCTAGTCAATGCTATGGCTGCTGATCTGAAAACTCAGCAAATTTTCAACACATTATTCACTGTGCTGCTGATACCATCAGCTCTGAGGACACTGTTGCAGTTTCTGAAGCTGGATACCTTCGCAGGTAACTGGAGGTGATGAGATTCAGCAGCAAAGGGAAAGATGATCATTGTTTTTAAAGGACATTGTGTTGTATCTCATGAGGATAAATACAGGCTCCTGGCAGCTGATGAAAGAAATACAAATTGATCATGGCAAGGGAAAAATCTTCTCAGCCAAGATTTGTAGATCTGCAGCTGCTCCACTATATAACCAATAAAAAATCAAGGCGTTCACCAAGACAAAAGGAGGAAACACCCTGCTAGTTAACTTCAAATAAAAATTCTAGAGTTTTATGCTTTTAGTAGAGAACTTTAAATTACTGAATACATCCTCAGTTCAGTTACTCTCCTGCCACAGAAAACAATGTCACAGAAACACTACTCAACTCTCTTTGCACTCAGACTCAACTTTGCACCGCCCTTGTGTCATGTTGTAGTTCCCAAACGTGATTCTTATTTGTGTAAGAAAACTGTAATTGTTTTCTTTTCCCTTTCATTGGGAATAGAATTAGACCCAAAGCCACTCAATTATATATGTTCCCCATGCCTCACTTTTCCACTAACCACTTGTGATGACCTGCCAGTGTGCAAGCGCCCCATTTGTGCCTGAAGCAATTTCAGATCATACGAATCCTGCACAGCAGCAACTTAAGACTTGCAAGAGAAAGCTTGCTGCTTACATTATTTTAACTTTCCCACAGAAGAGGTCATGTAGCAGTTAAATCTTGCACTGATTCTGCAGGCAGCCAAAGGATGGATCTCTCCACATAAAACAGATCTAGGCTTCTAGCAAATAATTATTTTTTTTGTGCGAAATACAGATACAGAATCCCTTTTTTCCCCACTACAGGTATGTCTCTGAAAAGCCCTATTTCTGGCTTCACTGTTGGCAATGGAGACGACAGTCCATTATTAGTGGTTTCCAAAATGCTGTCAACAAGACTGGAATATTCATGCAAATAATTTTCATTTCTGAAAATATTTTTACTCAATTAAGAGTATCTTCCCATTTAGTTCTCCTGATGGCAAAAGTTACCAGTAAAAGATGGAACCAGTCAAGGAAGAAGCAATTGCTTCTCTCTTGCTGCAGACAACAAATTGGAGCCAGTCAAGTTTCCACTGAAGCATCAGACTGCTAACATAAAGAACAGCACTGTTAACTACTGATTCTTGTCAATCATGAGACAACTCTTCCTGAAAAAAGAGTTTGAGGCTTCACTTTATTAAAGCACAGAAATGCTACAGGAGTGTTTAGAAAGGTACACAGTGTTAGGCTTGGAATGATATGCAGATTTATTTTTATCTGAAATATGTAAGTGAACAGTCCATGATGAGAGAATCAAATTTCACAGCTAATAGGTTCACTGATTAGGATGAATTGTCGGTATTTAGTTAAAACACCTCCACTCAGCCAAGAATGTCATTATTTCTGATGGAAGTTGGAACATTTCATTGCACATTGTCTCAGTTGTCATCACATCTTTGGCACAGTAATTTCTTCTCTTAAATCAACTCTGTTTGCACTGGAATTCTGTTGTGCATGTAAAAATCTTGGAAAATATACAGAAGTGTTAACCTGAAAAATCTGGTTCTGCCATTTTAAGAAACCATAAGGGACAATTCCTTAAAAAACTTCCCTTTTCCAAATATCTGGTGGTGTCTGGCAGGTAAGCTTCATTTATTAGGCAGCTTCTGCTGCCACGATCTTCCAATAGGTTTTAAACAAATGCACGATTAAAATAAAACATTTTCATCTATACAAATCCTACGAAAATTACTCAGAATGGTAATTTTTTTATTAAATATTGTTATCTTTGTGAAATATCTATGCCAACTTTGTTTATCTGATGGCAACACTAAACACTAAAATTGAAGATGGCATAAAAATCTTTGGTTTAACTACAAAAACAATTCCCAGAGACAGCAAGTTAGTGTGATTGGTGTTTGAAAAAAATTGTATCTCCATTTTTAGCATGTTTTTGCCTAATAGCAGCAACTGAGAAATTTCAAAAGCTATGTATTATTCAAATCATTGCGATATGACAGATACTAGGCCAGGTTGTACAGTATGAATCCTGACACTGTTTCCCAGAAAGCATCCCCTATAAAACCATTTTAAGACTTTAAAATTTCCTGTCCAGCTAATGTGGACTGGAGGACAAAGGTGCTTTCTCCTATGGTATGATTCAATATTAATGTGTGCACCAGCATGAGAGAAGTGTATTCCAAATAACATGCTGGAGAACAATAAAGTGGGAATTTCTGTTCTGTAACGGTGGTAAAATCAGTTTTCTGGCTTTCATTCCTGTTGTCAGAGGATATACCTGTTTGCAAATCAGTACTGTTAATAAGATTTGTCTCTAACCTGGTTTAAGGTCAAAACACACTCACAGTGGCCAACAATACCATAAAGTAGTCACAATTCATTTCCAGATCCAAGCTCCTCACTTGCTCACTTTCAAACTGAAATAAACCAGCTGAAACAATCATGAACATCCATGGCTACAACTCCTTTTCTAAAGCAGATTAAATCTGCACCTGGAACTGAGAATTTCATAATGTAAAATGGCAGGTGATCAATGCCTGAAGTCCACGTGAGAGAAAGGTGCAGCACTGAAAGTGCACTGGGATTTGAAGAAGGATGTGCAGGATGAAAAAAGCACAAAAGTCTCCTATTCTTGCCACATAATCCTCATAAATCTAACCCTGCATTCACATGTTCTTGCTGATGTTTCTCCTGCATCCATTGACAGATACTCTCTCGAGTGTGGATTAGCCAGCCCACTTTAAAATACAAGATCTGTACATACTTATCACGACTATTAAATGGAATCAAACAGTGCATCAGGATGGCTAAATAAAACAAGTAAATTGATGGGGAATAAGATTCAATTCAATTTTTTTTTACGTAAATTGTATATTAAAATATATATGGGAAAAGTAAAAAAAAAAAAAACAAATGAGGAGGCTACAATAACTCATTGTAGAACTGGAGAATTACAATTTTCTAATCTAAAATAGGCTATCTTTCGTTTAAATTAGAAGATCAGAGGTGAGAATTATTAGAATGTCCTTTCTAAACATTTACAGGCCAGCTGTAGATGAGGACTGTGTTTTTCATTCACGCCGTCACACTGGGAAAAAAACCAAACACTTTAACATTGCCGTCGTAACTCCTGAGCATTCGTCTGTTTGGTTTATTAAGTTAGAAGTTACTGTCTGTGATATAACCAAACAAATAGCTACTGAAGTTGGAACAGCTCTTTCAATTAGCATTGTCATACAAACAAGAACATTTGCGCTGTGAATGAGTAAGTGGCTGGTGCAGGCAAGAGGAGCGGCTGCTGTCTGGGGGAGACTGAAGAACGACTGCGACATTAGGATGCCGTGCCTGATGCCAGCTCCCCCCACTCACACACCCTACTCCGAGACTGCATTGCGTACGCTTTCACAGATCAGCCAAACACTGTCAGCCGCCAGCGAGGGAAGGATGACAGGATGACTGGCGTGCTGCGAGCGCCTGGCTCCTTTCCCTCGCCACAGCCGCAGCACCGGGAGCAGGGAAGCTGGGCCTGGAGGGCTGCACACGCTGCCCCAGGCCTGCTGCCCCAGGCCTGCTGCCCAGCCCCGGCAGCCAGCCCCACCCCAGCGCCGGGACACCCTGGGGCTCACTCCTTCCCCACGGACACAAGGAGGGAGGCCGTGACACTAGGCCAGTGCTGGACAGGGCAGGCAGCCTGGGGGCCCTGGCAGGAACATCAGCACCTGAGGTTCCTCAGGAGTGCCCAGGCGGGGGTGCCCGGCCGTCTGTGGCACCCAGAGAAAGCTGTGCTGCCGGGCAGGTCACGGCCAGCCTGTGAGGACTGCCCAACCTGCCGGAGCTTTAACGGCAGGGGGAGAGCAGGGTGGTAATTCTTGAAGGGTGAGTACAGTCTTCCCTTCTTTGAGTCCCAAAGTGTTAAAGAGACTTCCCAGTCTGACCATTCCCCAGTCCCTCAGGCAGTCCCGCTCCAGACTCACACTGCCAAGAGGTCCCCAGCGGCCTCCCTGCACTCCCCCAGTCACACAGAGCAGGCTTCCTCACCTCTTCTACCCCCGGCCTCCCACAGCAGAGCCTAAAATATCCTTGTTCCGTAGAGCTAATTATTCACGGTGCAGGAACGGAGAAAGAGCTCGAGCTGGTGCCTCTGAGGAGGGATCCCAGCAAAGGAACCCCGGGGCTTTTATCCCCTCCCAGTCCAAGCAGGCCAAAGTCTCGCTTTTCTTCCCCAGTCCTGAGCTGTGTCACTCCCCTGGCTGTGCCACAGGTCCCTGTGCTTTTTGTCATGCAGAGGGTGACAGTTCTTCTTGCCTTGGGCTCCCAGAGCTCCACCTGCAGCTTGCAGACAGAGACACCTGCACCAAATGTATCCTTAAAGAAGTGGTAAGCATATGCACCAAAACCCCACACAAACAATAGTGGAAAACCATAAAATCTCCACCAGCCATAGATTCAGAACTGCCTGTAAGCTGGAATACAAAATCTATTTCTGATGCATCCAGGGAAACAGCCTTGATAATTAGATTACTGATTTATGAGAGATCAAATTTGAAGTTGGCATAATTTAGAACTCCCAGCTAGGATATTTTAGGTGACTTAGTGAGCAAATGAAACCAGATCTGATTATAAGGCAGTAACACTGGACAACCTGTGCAAGGATGGTGGTGTTTTCCAATGCCATGCCTCAGAGCACTGTACATTTACTTGCAGCAATAATGGGACCACATTTTCTCTTCTTATTGTCTGTACTATCATCATGCTGGGGTGGTCCCAGAAACTTGTGGACTTGTCCACAAACTGGTCCCATTCATTTGTAAGCTATTAAATACAATGAAATTTTTCATAAGATCCTGTTATTATTGAGTTTCTTACTGAAGGCTAGGTTCACAGCACAAATTCATGTACCTAATTGACCTCAACAACTTTCATGCTATTCAGATTCTTCTAATGTGCATGGAAAGTAGTTTTCTGCCCAAACAATTTTACTTCTTTATACTGCTTTTCTCCCTGGAATTTCTAAAGGCTCAGTAGAATCCAATTCACCTTAATAGCGTGTGAAGGAACCAAGACCACTCACTATCTGTAAGCTTTAGAAGCCTGATGATTTAGTTTGGTTTGAAGCTGAACTTTTTTGCTTCATTCTGTTTTCAATCCCTTTTGTTTTTGTTTTGACTTGCAGCAATAGGAAAATTAGCACAGATACAGCATTTGCAAATGCTATTTTCTTAGACTAGATTCTAGGATTGCCTTATAAGACCAAGCACAGAACAATCCTAAATCTTTTCCAAGGGAAATGAATATATTTGCAACAGCAAATGTAATTCAACGTATTTTGTTAAGTCTTGGGGCTATTTTCCTATAACATCTTGTTTGTCAGCAACACATGCAAAACTCCAGTGGCACAGCTTTGAATCTCTTTGTAAATAATGACACTGAGGAAAAGCAACTACACTGAGTTTCAATGAAAGTAGACTTCGCTTATCAGAGAGAAAAATAAGGAAAAAAAGTTTTTGTTCCACTTACGACATGTGAGAATCCATGAGAGAAGCAGGAGTCTATGTCAAGACTGTGCAAATGCAAAGTTTTCATTAATGTGATTTTATCCCTCACTAGGAGGAGAAACCTGGTCATTTAAGAGAAGCCAATTTGTGTTTTTCACTGGAGACGGTACAAAGCCCACGTGGCATCTGCCCACTGCTCTGCGTGACTTCTGGAACATTTCAAATCATTGTCCTGAACAGCCTACTGAAGTGAGCACAGTCATTGGATTGAGCACTAACTTCCACTTCTTTAGCAAACTGTGGAGTGTAAAACCACACACTACCAATTAGTGACAACAGATGTGACTAAAACTTCAAAAAATCTTACAAGAAGTGGCCTTTAGATAATAAAAATGGTTTGAAATATCTGAGTCAGATATAACAGATGACTTTTCTGCACCCCTTTTCTGCCCACTTGCTGTGTATGCATTACTGAGCTGCCATCATTAATTCAATTTGCACATACAAGAACAAAAATATTAAAAATACTAATTATTAACAAATTCCCTGCTCAAAAGCTCAGGTCTTCTTCCCACATGCCAAAAAATTACTTAAGAGTATATCCTTCAAGAACTGTTCTTCCTGCCTAAAAAAAATGTTCTTGTGCTTTCAACAAAGAAGTTCCAGTGCATTTTCCAGTCAGGTGTCTAATGGGCACATGGACACAGAAAGCAAATTCTGCAAGGCATGGAACCGACTCATCCTATCCACCACATCTTCCTGCACTAAACTTCACAGGTAATGGGATAAGTAAACCTCTGGATACAAAACTCATGAAAGAGCATGTTCTCCTTTTTCTGAACAGAATGTGTACCTGGGTCTCCCTTGTTAATACCAGGTTGTTATAACTCTGTCTGTACAAACACAGGCTGTTAGCTCTAGCTGCAAATATTCTTACTAGCTGGAAGAGTCTGGCCTAGTGCAAGAAAAGCTGTTTATTGTTTCTTCACCTAGCCTGGCAGCTCTGCCAAATTACTTGCACTCAGGGTATCTGCAGATAGGTGTGAAAGCAATTACAGAGATACCTAGTCTATTCTGGTCTTTTCTCTCCTCAAAATTTATCCATTTCAAAAACCTAAGTAAAGGCTTGGAACAAGTAATATGCTGGGCTTCAAAACACGTCTCATTTTCCCTATCAGTAACACAGAAGTTGCAAGAAATCTGGTGCTCCTCAGGAATAGCAACAGATAAAACTATAATTTTTTGCCACATTTCATCCCATCATTATTTCTTTCTCAAGAATGACAAGAAGAAAGGGATTTCCTTCTGGTTTGTCAGAAGATTGCTTCTTGCAGTTGGTAGAAAACCAGCAGATATTTTGTTAAAAACACTTGGTGCAGAGTAGACCTGAGGACCATATGGTTTATTGCAAAAGATTCTCTCTGACACATCCTCCTCAAATGTCAGTATTGTTATTCTGTGGCAGGGATCAATAATCTCTCTGTGAAGGGAGATACCTTCCCAGTGAGGCCCAGGTGCTTAAGAATCTATGATTAGCTAGGAGAACAAGGACTGGAGAAAGCTGTTCTGGCAGATTTGGAATCCAATACTGAAAACTCCCCTAGAAGCAGCTGCCAGCCCTTTAATGAAACTCACAGCAGTGACTCCTGAGCTGAGACACTGCAGAGTGCCTCCATACCCACAGAGAGTACAGCTGCCACAGCTGTGAAGCATCCTTAAGTTCCTCCTGCAGGTCCTCACCCAGATTTTAGAGAACCCACAAGAAGTTTCTGAATCTGAACATGAAAATGGGGTGTCTGTAGCACCTCTGGACATCTGATAACCTTGAAGTGAACATGACTGCTGTATTATGGGAGAGATGATTCTCCTCATCACACCTGTCTTTCTTGACAGAAACAACAGAAATAATCTTCTAATGAAGATTATCTCATCTTCTCTTCAGCTATATTTTCTTACTTGCAAATGAGGATAGGGTAATTCCAAACATCACAATTAAACAACACTGACTGCAAAATCCAAATACTTCCAACTGCTTCAGATGTCAGTTTTCCTCCTCAGCCTACAGACCCTGGAGGTATATTTTTTTTCATGTATTTCTTAACAAATATTTTTTGCTATGAAAAATTAGTTTGATTAAATTAACTCCTTTATGGTATAAGGTTGGTTTGGTAAATAGCTTGCTTATACATTTTCAAAGTAGAGCTAGACCACATGAATTCTGAACTTAATTCAAACTTCAAAGCCTTTCATATTTTAAGGAAAAAGAAGAATAGTTTAAATTTAAATAAGGAATGTGAAATATATATTCACACAAGCAAACACACCAACTGCATTTCAAAGACCATTATTTTTTCTTTATAATGTTCAGGAATATAAACTTTTCAGGACTGACCCTTCATGAGAATACAATTTCCTGAAACACTGAGAATTCACTTTCTGAAGTGAGAATGCCACTCCTTACTCAACTCATACCAATAGAAGTTAATATCAAAATACAATCACGATTGTCAGTAACATGTGAATGTTAACTTTTATGTGGCTGGTGATAGCTATAAACATTTAAATACTTATCTTCTTCAGTGCCTCTGAAAAGCAGTACTTGTCCTGGTTTATAACTCTATAAATTTGAAATTATACCCCCCTATATTTAACATTGACTGTTAGCTTGTATTTCTGCATGCACTTTTCTGTGTAACAGTCCAAGGAAAAATGAATGCTTTGTGCAGGCATCACCTTATTCACCTTGCTATGAAAAGCAAACAAATCCACAAAAAACCAAAAGCACACCACTTGCAATATTTAACCCAATAATGCAACCTGTTTTCCTGTGCAAACACCACAGTGAGTTCTTTCAGGAACCAAACATCATCAAAAAATGAGAAACAAATCCTTTAAATGCTTTCCAAGTTGTCAGAGGTTTTGATTTAAATCTATCAGTTATTTCTTTGTTGAATCAGTTTTGGCTTTCAAGATTTACCTTGCATGAATGTGTCACCTGCTCTAATATGCAAATTCAATATAATAAGCTTGAAACACATTAACAGGAGCGTGACAGTATTGGTGCTACCCTGCCTTCTGCAGAGTAAGTTTGCAGAATTCCACACACATTTACACAAATGTATGACCCAAAGGTTTATCCTTATTGTTGGCTATCACAACAGGAATCCTTTAAAAAGCAATTTAGGAATGCAAGGAGTTCGTGCACATGCAGGCACTCATTTCCTTATCTGCCATGAAGAAGGGCAGCTTGGGATGGGAGGGACAGAGCACCTTTCCAGTGGAACATGCATCACCCAGGAAGGGCCAGGGAGGAGCTCTGCAAGAGCTGAGCAGATGCTCCCAGAGGAGACCAATGGGTCTGCTGCAAACACCAGCACAAAGTTCACTTGTCCTTGAGAGGCAGCCAGATCCCAGCATAAACCCCAGAGTACAGGGAAGGAAGACAAAAGGAACGCTCTCTTCACATCTGTGTATTGAATTACTTTGTTTCATATCTAAATAATAAAATAAGCCCTGAAAATTATCTCTCTCTTGATTAATATCGTCCTCCATTTCTCTTGTAAATGAAATGAGACATTTCATGTCCTGAAGATGAATTAGATGAAGCAATTCCTGCTCAACCATCACGCCATGAACTTTAAAACCCTTTGCATGCAACAATTATTGTCTCCTAGATCAGTGGGACTAGTGGAAATGATCTAGTAATGTCTTCAGTAATACTTCCTTTAACTGACAATTATGTCATAAAAAAAACATTTGAGACCAGTTTACTAAATGAGTAAATCAATAACCAGTCTAAACAAAACAAAAACAGCCACAGTAAAATATTCAAGATTACTATTATGAGGGAAAGTATTTTAAAATAACACCTGTCTCTGATATTTCTCTCTGACTCCACACTGCATTAGAATTGGCAAAGCACTCACAAGAAACACAGGATGACCTCAGGAACCTTGGGGAATTAAGAAGAGAAATTTGCCTGCCCAAGCTAGTCCTTGACATTCAAAAATAACCTCCTGAAACATAACCAGTGTGCAAGAGTTCAGCCAACTAATGGGTTTCAGCTAGGCAAAATCGGGCCATCTTTATGGTGAGATTGACAGCTTTGGCTCCACGCTTCATCTTTTAAATGCCACCTACACCTCAGCTGGGGCAGGCACATCAATAGCACCATTGATTTTTTTCTCACTTCAGTGAAATTACTCATTTTCTGCAGTTGCAATGTTACTGCAAAATAAAGCAACTATTTGAACACTTGAGAGCTCAGTCCACTTTACGATGCATGCTTTGGCTACACCTCTGTGTGGCTAAAGCTTTAATGATATCTGTGCATGGCTCCTTTCCTTGGCTCCTAATGAAATTACCCTTCAGGAAAACCCCAAGATGACAAATAACAATCATCTTCTTTTTAAATTGAGGAAAACATTTCTGATTGACTGATTTTTTTTCTTTTTTCCTTTCTGAGCATCTTCTTTAAACAGTAGAGGAAACGTTGGATAAAAAAAAAATAGTATGTGGGGTTTTAGGTTAATTTTGTTTGCATGTTTAAAAGTTGAGCTGGAATCTCCAAGGCATTTTGTAAAGCACAGTTCATATCAGTACAGCTGCTTCTTGTGTGCCTTCCATAACACAAGCAAAATAAGTTTTAAATAATTTCTTCTTTGGTCTTACTAGATGACAGGAATCTCTAAGCCATACTTAAAACAGTAAGTAATAACTTAGGATTCCAAAATCAGTAACAGTTTTTTAGGAATAATCCTTCTCTTATCTGCAGTGTTTAATTGCTAAAATATGACTGATCCTTAACAACTGCATCTGCATTAAATTCAACTCTCCTGTGATCCACAGGTCAACCTCACTTCTGCCTTTTCTTAGAAGAAGAAATAAAATTGTCATTCCTTATTATTACAACATTTGGACTCTACCACAGGCATCTTCCATAGACTTATTATGATGTATTTGATGAATAAGACTTTGCAGACTAATTTTACACAGGACCAATATATTCATAATTGTCAAAATTGTTGATATTGAAAATAAAGAATAAATGCCCTAGCAATGTCTACTGAACCATTATCTTCATTTATATTTTGTTTGAAATAATACCTTCTAAATTCTTTTTTCTTTTTTTTTTGTTAGCCAGGAGTTTTTTAGATCACTGTCAAATCCAAAACGGACATTTACTAAATGCAAGCAGGCCACAGATAAAGCCAGAACATTTTGCAGAAAAAGAAAAATTGAATCAAGCTGCATAGAAGTAAGTGGGTTTATCAACTCTTACAGCAATTGCAAAGAAGAAACTGTCTAACATGTATGACCTGAAAAAGAAAATTAATTTATAAAGGCTTTACACATTTTTACATGGTACAAAACTTGCCCCCTAAAGCTAACAGTAACAGTTTGAAGTGAATTGCAGGATATAATAGAAGCCTTAAAATCACAGGGAATTTTTCAAATGCTGCCTTTGGAAATAATACCTTGTAAATATAATTACTTACAGTTGGAATACCTCAAGTTCATTGAGATTTTTTTGACTGTTTTTTTTAAATTTGCATCTATTAATTTTGCTTGAGTCACCATTAACATGACAGCATTCCTTCTTTGTTGGGTCTGCAGAACAGACCTCCCTTAGTATCAGAGCACATGCTGCTCTCAGGGACAGCAATCCTTCATGGGGACCTGGAGTTCTGGCTGCTCCAGAGCAGATAAAGGAGTAAGTTCCATTCTCTCTCTCACCTGAGCTCTGCCTCAAGGAAAATGTCCCAGCCTGTATGGCTGCTTACATCAGAAGGTCTTTTCATGTCTTTGAAATTAGTCTTAAACTCTCTATATTGAGAAATGGACAATTAACAATCTGGTATAACAATTCTTAGGTTATTTCAACCATTCTTTCCAAAAGCAAACTGTATTTCAGACTGATTTCAGCATGAGGCTTTTTCAATACTTCCATCCAAACCCTTTCCCTTATTAGACTACTTGTCCTGTTAACTGTTTACAAATCACCTGCACTGAAGGCATCCTTTGCTGTACATTCCCATCCCAGCAGTGAGAAAAGCTCACCCAAGCCTTTCTAGACCTTACTGACATTTCAGTTATTAGCACAATGCAAAGGCAGTTATTAAGATTTAGTCAGGAGACAAATTGCTGGCTATATACATGCAGATTTCTGCAAGCTATATACAAAGAGATTTCTATCTGTCTGTATAAATACGAGGGATTTATTTGTTCCAAAAGCTTGCAAATCTTGATTACCCTGACTCTGCCACAGAGGCTGGACATGTGTGAGGATTTGTAGTCTATCCTCAGTAAACACAAAGTTAACTAAAGCAGCTCAGACAAGATCTTTTATTTGATGGCAGAGAAGTAATCTTGGCTGCAACACAATGTATACAATCTTGAATCACTACAGGGATCTTATCACCCCACTCCTTTCATCATCTGCATGTTTTAACTGCAGCCAGCCTGTAACCCCCTTCCTCCCTCCTCCACTGCAGTGTCCTGTCATCTTACAGTGCACACAGCCAGCGCCGCTGTTTGAGAAAGGCATGGCCAGATCTCTCACTCATCTCTGCCTCCTCAAACAAGCTGTGGAAATCATCCCTCTAAATCCTCCCTGATCTCCTTGTGGTGATCTTGCTTCCAGAGCTGTTCAAACATATGGGCAGCAATCAGGCCATATCCAACCTCACATTCACCAGGAATGTTTCCAACAGCTCAGTGTCCCCTTTCTGCCTGTCATTTCAATTTATACATATGCTTGCCTGTAATTTCAATCTATACATGTCATTCCCTTGAGGAATTATTACCCTGCTGAAGTGGAAATTCATATCTGTATACGTTAGAAAAATAACACTGCGACAGTGAATGTGAAAATCCCTGCATGATAAATCCTCCATGTCGCTTGCAAGAAATACCGTAACTCATAGAGCAAAATGAAAATATATTACATAGAAGCAAGAAAGTACCTATAAAATTAGAAGGGAGATTCTCAGATTTCAGGTGCTTTCATTACGGAACAATGTTTCACTGCTCACTGAAGTAAACAGATATATAGTATTTTTTAAGCATTTCTGAGAAATTTTCACTGGATGATCAAGACACTTGAAAACACATTTAAGGAAATATACCTTGTAGAAAAGCGATTTCTGGTTTGGTCACTTCTAGAAGCTGCAGCAGTTGCCCTAGTTGACTTCCACTAACTTTATTGCCATTCAGTGAGAACTGCATGACAAAATTTGTAGAGAAAACCATAGTGCTGACAGAGAAGAGTAATTAGTGACTGAAACCAAGTTAGGCAGGAGCCTTATGCTGTCACTATTCAAGCTCAAGGAATATTTACAGAGAATGAATGCACACACCAAGAATTATTGCTGTATTTCCCAGTGAACACATACAAGATTAAACATACAAGGAAAGCTTTTGAGAGAGCAGGAGCTTCAAAGGAATAGAGCAGAAATGAAGTTTATTTGTTGCAGTAAAAGTCAACACTGCATGCAAGATACCTTAGACCCACTACTTTTTTCCTGATTTTATTGGGAAACACTGCCAATGGGTAAAGAAATAGTGAACATAAGGCCTAAATTCTGAACACAGGATTTAAAGACCTGATTAAAAGAGAATTAAAGTATTTCTATGAGGAAAAGAATTCTGTTAGTTTTGCTGAAATGACAGACTGATAGATTAGAATACATAAAAGTATACATATATATATAGTACAAATATATATACTTGTATTTATATGTAGCTATATATATGCAGACTGCAAACAGTCAAAAACATTCAGAGATCTACTCTGTATTTCATATATGAATATATATGCTTATCTATATACAGTGAAAAGTTAGTCCTGATAAGCAGTTCTGTTTATTCTTTTATGCCGACTATTAGCCTAATTTCAATTACAGCTTGAAATATAAACTATATAGCAGCAAAAAGAATAAATGTGGTTTTAGGCAAAACCAAGTACTCCAAGTTATCCTAAAAACACTTCACCCACTGTCCCACCAACATGGCAATTTATTTGTGTTGTACCGTGGACTCCTCATTGGACATTTGTGAATTTATGAAAATACAAAAGCCTGCTTGTAACTCATGAGCAATGGTGAATATTATTCTTTTTACACTGCCATTTCCATTTATTCTTATGGCTTGTAATTTCTGTGAATATCTAAATTTACTCTGTATTCCCTGTACAGGTAGCAATTGCCAAGCTAACCTTATCTGCTTCTACAGGTTTTATTATTCATATTTCTAGCGTCATATGACAACTTCTATCTATTTTCAAGTTGCATACTGGTTTTTGTATCTTATCTGCATGTGTGATACAGATTCATTTTACCTTCCAAATAGAAGCAATATAAACTTGTCTTCCTCATATATATGGATACTCAAATAGAGGCAAGATAGCTTCAAGTGCTGGTAGTGTCATTAAATTCAGCTATGTTATCAAGAGCAGATGTTCAGAATACAAGGATCCCTAATGTCTCTGGGGTTTTTTTTCCAACAAAACGTGTTTTCCTTAAATTACAAAATGAAACTCCAAGGTATACAGTGATAAATGTTTCAAACCCTAAATACTGTAGAGTTAAAGGTGCCCCATATGATGTGAAACTTCTCGATTTGTCATCATTTATTGTGATATCTCTAATCACACTATTAACTGGATTCAGCAAAATCACTCAAGCTTTTAGTGTTCTGAAAGCCTAAACAAATGGATTAGCATGAAAAAATTGCACCAGAAAAAAAAAAAAAAGATAAAGGAATAAATACTTCTATTTTTATTTCCTTTTGTTTAGCCCAATAAGGGGATTTAAATGGTATTTGTTAACTAGAATTATAGGAGGATCCCAGACAGTTAATTCTGAGAAAACGATCTCAAAGGAATATTCCAGACAAACAAGAAGCTATAAAATAAATATATTCCCTTTAGCTACATAGGAAGAACATATGCAACACATTCTACACCAACTCCAGTTCTGTCAAATTACTGCTATGCCACAACTTCCAGCCTATGTTCTAATTTAAATGTGTTAAAACCAAATGAGAAAAAAAAAAAATACCAGTGACTTGTGTCTTGAGATCTTTTCAATAAAAGTTCATACCTAGACTTTTTATCATACAATTCATTTAACTAATAATTCCTTTACAGAAAGCGTGAGAATAAAAGGTTTGATGTAACCCTAGGCCTAGAAATGCTAATTTTTAATTTCACACTAAGTCAAGTGAGTGGGGAAACAAAAAAATTTACTCTAGCTACCCTAAAGAAGTACAAGTAACCCTCTCCCAAGCTGCTTTAGAGGAGACAGGAGATGAGGAGCTCTCCCAGCTGCAGGAATTGCATCTCCCTATGGCAGGAGCGCACCTGCACTGCTGCCTGGGTCGTGCCCCGCTGGCTGCAACCTGCATGGGAGCAAAGCCTTGCGGGGTTCTTGGCCATTGCATTTCAGTCCCCATGCCTGCATTTCAGTGATTATCACAGGGCAGCCCTTGAACTGTCGGCTGCAGGGAGCTGCAGGCCAGCCTGGAGTAATGCACTTGACACAGATGTAAAAACATCACTTCTCCACGCACAAGAGAAATGATGTTTGCTTGTTTTCCTGCGCGGATGAAGGACAGCTTGAATGATTCATCCGTAAGCGGGCAAACAAAAGTGGGGGTCTGAATTGAATTGCAACATAATTTCCTTTAAAGCTTGTTGGGAACATCCAGCTACACTGTATTGTGGCAAGGACTGCCAGCAGGACAAACACTACGTGCGAGTGTTGGAAGTATAACACACTGATCTGATGTTGAAGATGGGGAAAAGCGCAAGCAAGAACAAATTTCTGGTTTTGTAGCGTCAATTGAACCCTTTGTAAGTACAATTGCTTTGCAGCAGCAACACTGGACTCCCTGAAGCCACCCTCAAGACTTTGATTATTCACTAAGTAATTATGCTCACAAATTAGAAAAAAGTATGGTAGCAGCTTAGTATAATTTCTGTTTTAGGACTAACCCATGTTCAGAGCACATCTGCACATTGTATATCTCGTTCAGTGTTCAGAAACCATATTGTACAGGAGAAAAATAGCTAATTTATCCAGCTCTTTTCAAATCAGATTTCATACTGAAAATTCTAAAAAGGACTAAACTCCTCCAGCTCCCACAGACTTCAATGATGCCTGAAATGCAGAAGAATTGTAATCATCTCTGTAACTTTAACTATACAGATTAGGATCTCCATATTTGAACTTTTTCATGCAGATAAATGAAGAGGCTGTTTACAAAGCAAGGCTGATACAGGAAAACCTTCAAAATTAGTGTTCATTCAGCAAGAGAAGTCAATGTTATGTCTACCTTGCACAGATGAATAAATCTACTTATGTCAATAAACACTAATGAAATGAATGGAACTAACATTGATTTCAGGGCAGCCAGGACTTTGGCCAATGTATTTACTCTGAACAAAACTGTATAAACACATTAATTGACTGCAACGAGAGAGATTCAGAAAGATACATTATAAATTCTGCTGGCATTTTTTTTAAACCAATGTTTTTGACAGAAGCCACATTAATTTTTAAAAGAATTTTAAGTTCTATATTTTGAATCAAATCAATAAACTATTATTCCCGAGTTCATTTTTATGAAAATCAAACTATACTTTACTCATTAAAAACACAGGTGCTACAGTTCATTCATATGAACTGAAGAGTTCACTCTTCATCTAAAGAGGGAAAACGTAAAGCTAGCACTTGTGCAGTTTTAGGAGCCTAAAACTCCTAAAACTCCTTTCTTCCTGTGCACTGGGAAAAACCAAGGATTTCTTTGCTTCCAAAAGGATTTCTGAACTGGAGTATATTGCTGTGAAATCTGAAATTGAGGTGTCCAAGTCATCATTAGCCTTTGCTTGGGAAACAGGAGAAAAATCGGGAATACAAGTTGATAAATTTAGGATTGAAAATGATCATCTCAAAAATGTCGTGGAGCAGCTTGAAACTCTGCTGGCTGCAATGGAGCACAGAGAGAAACACTCTGTGGCTGTGCAAGTCACTACTCTGCACAGACCATGGGCCTTGGGACAGAGATGTTTGGCACAGTGATGATGATGATAAAACCATGAAAAACCCTGACCTGAATGTGAGGTTAGAAAAACAAAAAAACCCAGAATTACCACTTCAGTAGCAGTAAAAATATCAATTTCAGCACAAAGAGCAGTGACAGAACTTCCTAAGTGGAGATTTCATATAAAATATATTTTATATACACATTTTATACATATTAAATAGGTATTTTATGCTTCTAGAAAAGGCAAGTCAATCTTACATCCAAGAACAGTGACAAGAAACAAAAGACATATATTAACCATTGAGAAATCATAGAGAACTGTCATCAGACAATTTCTTAAGCTGAAATGTAAATCTAAATGTTTGAATTAAAATTATCACAATGTATAGGGAAAATTTTCAACAGAATCCTTTGTCTGAAGTATAAGTTCTAATCATAGCCATTTGTACATCCATCTAAACTGTAAGAATTACTAATATTTATTTTAAAATTTATTGACATAATGTATCTGGAAAGACCTCTGCTTAGTCATTTTCAGCCATGGTGCCAGTGTGATTCAAAGTCCACCTTTTAAATTTAGAGATGTATCAGAGAGACACTGACAACTGACAGCTTTGAAGTCTATTACTTAAGCAAGTTACCTACACAATAATTAAAGACATTTCTACTAAGATGGTTCATGCTTTCAAGAATTAAGGGCAGTCAACCCTTCCACATTTTATTACATACTTTTACTATTTTAAATGATTTAATGATTAATTATGAAATCCAGATCACTAAATATTATCTAAATATATTTGTCTTGAAGTTTCAAAGTCACATGTTTCAGCTGTTCTGTGTGCAGCAGCATTGTGAATTAGACTGTAGTTCAAGCCAATGTAATTGTTCCATCGGACAGGACTAACAGGAGCATTTGTTACTGAAATTACCAGCGCTGTTTCAGCTGACCTCTGAGTTCATCAAGATCATCTGAGTTCAGTGGCCATGCAGTGGCTGCTGTACCTGAATTACTGAAATTCTTGTAAGGAAAATGAAAAGCATGAAGGAGGGGAGCAGCTACCAAGTATGAATCAGGATTTCTGAATTGACTCCATCTGATATTTCCATTCCCCTCTCCCTACAAAGTGTGGTGTAAGAATAAAGTGAACTTGAGAAAGAACACAGTTGAATGTTTCTGTGGGAGCCTGCAAAGAAAACATACAGATTAATACAATGATTTCATTTATTGAGTAGTTTTGGCATAATTACAGCTATATTAAGACTGTCATAGTGAGGCATCAACAGTGCCATCATAATGCCTACATAAAAGGTGACTCATCAGAGCCCTGAAATTCAAGTGAAACACTTACTGTCACTCAAAATGCTTTAGGAAATGAAAGCCAATTTTTGCAGCCTAACAGGCTAACTCACTATGCTATTTTAATTATTTTTCATTCAGATAGATTTTTTTCTTGGCACACAGAACCAGTGCATCAAGGAGAAATTTCTTTTGAAAAACCACACAGCAAGCTAGTATCAATTGAGGATGCAAGAGTAAAAACAGAAAACAAAAAAAAAAAAAGAAAAAGATGTCATCTAAGATACTAAATACCAAAGATTTACAGGAACAAAGGAAAGAAGGAGAACCTGTAGGCCTTTAAATTTATACATAGTCACTTAATAACTGGGCATGCTTTTCAGGGACTGTGTCTGATAGAGAATTATGCAAAAATTACTTCAAAGCCTGTAAGAAAGTAAACTCACCAGCCATTCAAAAACCACCCCCTGTAACATTGCAACAGCTAATTAGTAGTCCATAAGCATAAAATCTGGGGGAAAAAAAATCAACACATTTCCTTATTTAGTGCAGAACATAATGTGTATCATATCTGTGAACATCCAGAGATCTGGGAGAAAAATACAGTGACTTCCAACTCAGTGGGACGTGACTTTGTCAGGGAGTGATCTCCAGCTCAACAACAGAAGCCTCAGCAGCACTTCCCTCCTCCTTGCACCTCGCTGCACTCCAGGAAAGCGCTGGTACCCACTCTGGGTACTCTTTATGGAGATTCCAGGTGATTCTGCCTTGTTCTCACGCTGGCTGACAGCATTTTCAGGTAGGGGACTGTACACATTCACCTCATAGAGCAGAAAAACACAGGGAGATAGTCTTCCAGCTGACAGGGGAAAAAAAATCCCAAAGTGCTTCTTTAACAAAAAAAACCCCATACATTTTAACAATCATGTTCAGTCTATTTCCAATTTTCTTAACTGTTGGATAATGTGTATCTTTAAAACTTCTAATGAAACACGGGAAAATCACATTCCTATTCCTGCCATAGGTGGGATTGGCTAGGTAAACATAGGTAGAAAGAGATTCGATCATAAACACATACATTTACATATAATTTCAGCTTTGAATCAGCCTAAGAATAGAAGAATTTTGAGAACTGTAGTAAGGTTTTGTGAATTTCATTTTGATACCACAAAATGTGTTATGAGAAAACCGATGAAAACCCATTGAGCTTTGGGGAAATACACACATTTTTTACAGGCTCTCCAGCATTATGTTTAACTGAATAAGACTTCTCCTTCAATGAAAAATGAAGTTTTTTCAGTTCTTGTGCATTTAAAAAGTAGTGTAATCCATAGGATTTAATCTATAAAGTTGTACTGCCTAAGTATAGACATAATATAGCCAAATGTTCCAGTAAACAGAAGTGGCTC